TTTGGATATATTGGAGGATTATAATTTGGATGAACTATAATATGGAGTTGACTAAGATATTTAAAGGACTCACAGAGGGGAGGAGGGAAGACTCTCGTTTTACTTCAAAATTTAATTGTGTTAATTGTGCGATTTATTTCGTAAAACCAATAAAAAGTATTTCAAAAAAAGAAGAAGTTCAGAAGCTGAAGCAGGCGAAGAGGGAAGCCAAATAGCAGAGATGAATCCAGCTGGTGAAGTCACAAGCATCTTCCCATCCTGCTGTGACCAGCTCCTCTTCCCGGTGGTCTCTCAGAACCAGGAGTGGCATGAAGAGAGCAGAGGAGAAATTAGCTTCATGCTGGCACAGTCTCAGATTGCTTGGGGAAAACCACGGAGAGGAGGAGACATTGGCAGCTGTGGGGAGGCGAGAACCTTTAGTCTTGGCAACTGTTTCGGTGTGGGGGGGATGCAAGACCTGATTCAGGAGAGTTGCTGCTCTCATTAGGCCTGGCAGATCCTGTTTTTGCTAATAAAGAGTTCGCTCCAAGTTGTTTTGTGTGCTTTCCCGCTGGCTCCCTCCTGTCACCACCTCTGAAAAGATGGCTATGTGAACTAGCCTAACAACTCCAGGTTGTTCGGAAATGTAGGGTTTGCAATTGCCTCGTAATTTCTTACCTCTGTGGTTTGTTCCTCTGTACTGTATTGAGCTGTTGCCATTGCACCCAGAAGTCATTACAACATTCAGGTTTTCGATACGCCGGATATTCATTCATCCTGTTTGGTCTTATAATTACTAAAGGGCGCCACTTTAATTAAATGTGTGTGCAATAACTTACGGCAGATTCTTCTGAGGGAATACTCGGGTCTAAGAGGTTATTAATGGAAGAGCTAAAGCAGGAAAGTGCTGATGAATCGCAAGAAAGAAGCATTATTAAGGCTGCAATCCCAAACACACTGACTGCGGAATAAACCCCACTGACAAGAGCGGGGCATATTTCTGGGGAAACATAGATGGAACAAAGTTTTTGTATTAATTAATTATACCCCACCTTTCTCTCAGGGCGGCGCCCAGGGCAGGTCACTGCATCAATTAAAGCAGATGCAATTATTAAACACCATTAAATAAGTAACCCTATTTTTTTTTAAAAAAAAGCACTGAAACATTTAAATTGAATTGTGCCTGGAAATGGACTGGTAGCTAGTGGAGCATTTGTAAAAGTGAATTGCATTGCAAGGGTTTGGACTGGAGCCCCTTCAAACTCTACAATTCTATGCATCTATGAATATCTTTATCCCCATTACTGGCTAATACAGTCTTGTTTTGCCAAGGCCACTGGAAGAGAGGAAGCTAGACTGCAATTCAGAAGGTAATGCACAGAGTTAATTCACTGTACACGAATACAGCTTGCTTGAGACTAAAACCTACTTAAAAGCTTTGCCTCTGACCTTGGCAAAGCTCTGATCTCTTATCTCATACGGAGAGAGGTGTGGAAGTGCACTATGACTGATGAGGTTAAGGCAATCTCAAAATACTCACTGATGCATTCTCCTCCCTAGTCAAATAACAAGCAAAATGCTCTCATTAGAAAACGACAAAATGGGAAGCCTTAAGAACAGAGAGGGATGGAGGCAATTTTCAGGATGTGGCAATCTTCTGCAGAAGGAGTATCTAATTCTGGGTGCACATGGCAAGTCCGCATTAGTATTCAAAGACCATTTGTTCAAACCACATTTTCTTTTCTTTAAAAAAATAATAATTAGAGAGACAGACATTTGTATGAAAATAAAATATCTCATTAGAACACAGAGGCAGTCATGCTCCTTGCAATAATAGATTGTGGGCCCAAAGCAATGGAAGATGAAACAATCACAGGACAAGCATCCTGGGTTTTATACAAGCCACAATTTTATTGATTACAGATGTCAGTAGGTTTTGGCATAGGTATTAGGTGTGTATCCTGAATCCTAAAACCTCCTTCAGCTTTTTGAAATTGGCCTTCTTAAAGACCAGAGTGCAGGTGCGACTACACTCAGTTTTCCCTTGCTTCTGTATCCTGAAACCCAGGGGAACATGATTACTTCCTCCCAAGTTTCTGAGCACTCCCACTTCATCCATCAGTTCCTCCCTGTTGGTGAGGACCAGGTCCAAGATAGATGACCCCCTTCTTGGTTCTTCCACCTTCTGGGAAATCAAGTGGTCAGCGATGCAACTGAGGAATTGCATCAGACCTTATACTCTTGGCAGAGTTTGAGTCCCAACAGATATTGAGGAAGTTGAAGTCCCCCATGAGTACTATTTCACTCCTTTTTGAATATTTGGTATTCTGTTCTAGTAAGACACCATCTAAGTCTTCAATCTGGCTTGGCGGTCTACAGCAGACACCCACAGTAAGGTCACTGTTGTTTCTCTCTGCTACAATTTTTACCCACATACTCTCAATCTGCTTTTCATGCTCCAGGTCATGGATTTCTTCACAAGTGTACACATCCTTTATATACAATGCTGCTACTCCTCCCTTCCTGTTTGATCTATTCCCTTTGAACAAGTTATACCCTTCAATTCCCACATTCCAATCATGAGTCTCATCCTACCAGGTTTCAATAATGCCTACCAGGTCGTATTTGCCATGCTGTATTAAAGCTCCAGTTCATCTTGTTTGTTTCCCATACTCTGTGCAGTTGTGTAGAGACAAATGAAACCATCAGTCATTCCCTGCAGCTGCTTCCTTCCTGTAGTTTCTTGCCCTTTAGCAGGTTTCTGGAGCACCAGCTCAGTTTCTTGTGCATCAATGAAGCTATTATCCCCAGTGCCAGGTGCTCTTTTGTCGTTCCTATTGTCATCCACCCCCCCACGCTCAAGATCTAGTTTAAAGCTCTCCTGATCAGATTCTCAAGGCTCTTTTCAAACACATTCAGTCAGCTCCTCCTTTAAAATTACAGAATTACAAAAGCCACCCCAGATTCTAATTTGATCCCGGAATGTCCCTATTTCCCCCACCCACAGAGTGGATCACAAGGAGTCTAGTTTTTTGTTTTGTTTTTTTAAAGGCTTTGTGTGCATCTAATCTTTCCCCTTTCTAAAATTTATTTATTGGTGTGTGTTTTTCTTTTTGTAAATCTACCCCCAAAATAAAATATCTACCAAAATTTGTGTAAATCTACCAAAGAACGGACAGAGGAGGGTTTGTGTCCTGTGTCTGGCTGGTGCAGCAGTGGTAGCACTCATCTTCCTTCTGAGAGGAAATGCTCTGCAAAAAAAGCGAGGGCAAAAAATGGGAGTCGAGGAGGGTAAATTGCCAGTGGAGTGAGAAACATCCCTGTTTTCATCTGAGGAACATTGGAGGTTATTCCGTGCATAAAACCACCTTCCCCCGAATCCTTCATCTTTGTGAATTTGAATGAAATCTTTCCCACCCACAATTGAGCATCATTTGCCCAGCAAGGAGCTGGGGGAGATCTTAAGTGTGAAAATGCAAAAGGGGAGTGAATAATAATAATAATAATAAAGGATTCACAATTACATGACGTGCTTCTGTCCCCTCTTCATAACAAATGCCCCCCTTTCAGTGCATACTTTTGAATTATGGTGCTGGAGGAGACTCTTGAGAGTCCCATGGACTGCAAGAAGATCAAACCTATCCATTCTGCAGGAAATCAGCCCTGAGTGCTCACTGGAAGGACAGATCCTGAAGCTGAGGCTCCAATACTTTGGCCACCTCATGAGAAGAGAAGACTCCCTGGAAAAGACCCTGATGTTGGGAAAGATGGAGGGCACAAGGAGAAGGGGACGACAGAGGACAAGATGGCTGGACAGTGTTCTCGAAGCTACCAGCATGAGTTTGACCAAACTGCGGGAGGCAGTGGAAGACAGGAGGGTCTGGCGTGCTCTGGTCCATGGGTCACGAAGAGTTGGTCATGACTAAACGACTAAACAACAACAACAACAACATATAAAATAAAAAAGATGACCCAGAAGGCAAAGCTGCAAATGACTCAGCTCTGGCACATCTGCAGATGGCTGTGGCCTGCGCCACCTCTGGCTAGCTATTCCAGCAGCCGGATTATCAGAGCAGCTGCAGCGGAAAATATTTCCATTCATCATTTCGTGTGGCTCAGCGAGAGAGAATCTTGGTTATAAGCTCACTTGCATGTTCACCTTATCGGGCAGAGGCATGCCTGCCTGTACCACGTTTGGCTTTTGTATTACAGTCCCGCAGGTCCCCATTAAATGAGAATAGTGTTACACATGTGGGACCACCAGGAAAACAGTGCATTTTCAATGTGTGTGTGTGTGTGTGTGTGTGTGTGTGTGTGTGTGTTATCTGGTCCAGCAAATGAGCAAGGAGCATTGCTGGAGCACATCAAGTCACTCCTATTATGCCTAGCGGCTACAACTCCAAGAGGAATGGTTTTCCTAGCCTTTAGAATCACAGGCAGAAAGCAATGGTTTGTTTGCCCCTGTTATTAAGGGGAAAGGCACTCAGAGGCTGTTTGACTTTGCTTGGTGGGTGGGCAGGTAAAGGCAAAGGACCCCTGGACAGTTAAGTCCAGTCAAAGGCGACTATGGGGTGCAGCACTCATCTCGCTTTTCAGGCCAAGGGAGCCGGCGTTTGTCCACAGACAGCTTTCCGGGTCATGTGGCCAGCAGGACTAAACTGCTCCTGGTGCAACAGGACACCGTGACGGAAACCAGAGCGCCTGGAAATGCCATTTACCTTCCCGCTACAGTGGTGCCTACTTATCTACTTGCACTGGTGTGCTTTCAAACTGCTAGGTTGGCAGGAGCTGGGACAGAGCAACAGGATCTCACCCCATTGCAGGGATTCAAAATGCCATCCTTCTGATTGGGAAGCCCAAGAGGCTCAGTGGTTTAGACCACAGCACCACTCGCATCCCTGCCATTCATGTTACGGTCCCAGGATGGGTTGCAACAATAAAACAATATCAAGGATTCGGGGGCCAATGGGAAAAGCAGGTGGCAACCAAGCAAATGGCTGTTTTAGCTCTCTGTTAGAGGAAGAGCTGTAGCTCAATGGTAGAGCATCTGCTCTGCATTCAGACAGTCCCAGGTTTGATCCCCAGTATCTCCAGAGAGGGCTGCCAATGTCTCCTGCATCCAACCTTCAAGTCAGTGCAGAGACAATACTAAAACAGATGAACCAAAAGTCTGAGCCAGCATAAAGCAGCTTCCAATGTCCCAAATGTGTTTATGGTTTTTATACTGCAGACAGTAAAATGGGTGCATTAATATACAATCTGCATGCTTATCTGTAAAATATTAAAGAATATGCATACAGGCAGAGTGCTGAGGCTCTGATTTTTATTTTTATTTTTTTTAAGCTTTTAATTATGATTCCGAAACCACTTTCTATAAACCTGCAATCACTCTTACCTTTGGAATTCTGCTCACTCCCTTTGATTTACTTTTGGTATTTTACGTTTCCTTCCTCTGTCTGCAGAAACATAAAGGGAGAAGAAAGTATTCAAAGTTCATGCGTGCAGGGCATGCATAATTGGAAATATTTTATTGGGGATGACAGAAAGATGAAACGTTAACAATGCATTCTCCCCCACCTTGCAACCAGACACATTTTTTAAAAAAGTAATTATGCAGGTTGAACATAAACCACTGTCTTCTCTTCCACCTAAAAAAGAAAGGGAGGGAGGAAAATGTCGCATCATCCAGAAATCATTATTTTAGACAAGCAAATGAAAGCTAGGAAACATACAGAGCAAATGCAATTATTTATCTGTAGTCACAAAGTACTTGCCATATACAGAAGAGTCTTAGGAGCACAGAAAGAACCTTGGAAGGGAGGTGTGATCTAGATTTGTGGTGGCTGGGGCAGCTATGTACAGCTATGCACATCAAGGATTCTGAGGCTGGATCTAGACACATTAAAAAAACGTTTCAGGAAAACGCGTTGTAATGGGAAATCACATTGCCGAAAGATGGAACTCTACAGTGTCATCCGGTGTCACAGTGTTATAACGCATTTAAAACTGCAGGGAGCAGGGCCAGAGAGGAGCAGGGTCAGGAAGGGTGTGGTCTCGGGAGAGGGGTGTGGCTTTGGGAAGAGGAGTGGCCTGGAGAGAGTTTCAAGGGGTGGACTGCGAAGTCTGGAGGGCCACACACAGCCCCTGTGCTGAGGTTCCACATAGCTGCTTTAGAAAGACAGAGAGAGAGAGCAAGGAGAAATTGGTTGTGCCTTGGAACAGCAAGTTGCTATTTCACACACCCTGCAAATTGTTGGGAAACTGTGTAAGTGCAGCTACTCACACAGAGTCAATTAAGGTATAGCAGACAGCCAGAAGACAATCTGAAGGAGTAAGTCTGCCTGGTGATAACAGAGACATGGAGACCGCTCCCTGATTGGTCAAGCTCTCTCAAGGGAGTGATAATCAATGGCCTGCTAACTGGAATGTGTTAGTTCGTGAGTTCAGAGGTTCAGAGTTATGTGTGTCAGTGTAGGAGTTGTGAGTCGTGTCAGAGAGAGCTAGCAAAAGATCCGTGTTGTGTTCCTGTTAATAGTCCACTGTAAATAATAAACACCTAACTACAAGTTCCTGGTTCCTGCTTCGTCTATCCTATCTGCAGCCAAGTTGCCAATTGCTTCCGTGGATTCTGCGTTTACTCTGCTAGGTCTGGCTAAGGTCCTGCAACTAGTCAGAAAGTTTGCAAAACACCAATAGGTTCTACAAATACGAATGTCCTTTTGAAATCTGTGCGCATTGATTGATACCATCTTCCTGAGCCAAAAACATAGTCAACGTGTCATCTTAAATTACCAGCTTGGCATGTGTGTCTCTTCATTCGCACAAAGTGCACCGCGTTTTTCTGACAATGCTCAGATATGTCTTGAAAGGCAGAGACGGCGACGTGTTTTAACTTAGCTCTCTGTCGGGAATATGGTTAACCCTGTCTTTAGGCAATCCTGAAACTATCAAAAAGGCAGGTGCCTGTGAATAGCACTGTACTGAGACCAGACAAATCAATGTGAAATAATGTTATACAAGAAGGTCCTGGAGAAAACATACTGCAGGAAAAGACTCCTTTCCAGAGCTCATAGTAACCTTCTCTGAAGCCTATAGAAGATGGCTCTGATTTCAAATCAGCCTATAGTTTCAGATCCCTGGGTGGTTTCGTTAGATTATTTTGCAGGTCAGGCTGAACTGCAGGAAATGAGAATTTGCCTGAAAAAGGCTAGTGGTAGCTAAAACCCTGGTTGCATATAAAGTGGTACCTCGGGTTACAGACACTTCAGGTTACAGACTCTGCTAACCCAGAAATAGTACCTCAGGTTAAGAACTTTGCTTCAGGATGAGAACAGAAATCGTGCTCTGGTGGTGCGGCAGCAGCGGGAGGCCCCATTAGCTAAAGTGGTACCTCAGCTTAAGAACAGTTTCAGGTTAAGAACGGATCTCCAAAACGAATTAAGTATTTAACCCGAGGTACCACTGTACAGTCGTACCTTGTTTTGGGAGCAGCAAACCCTGAAGTAACCCATTCCGGTACTTCCGGGTTTGCTGCGGACGTTCGACGAAATGGATGCTCAACAAGGTGGACTCAAAATGAGGTACCACTGTGTGTGTGTACACACACACACACACACACACACACGGCACAACTCTTTAAAAGAATGGTTTGCTAATGTCTGGAAGATGGCTTGCTCTCTCTGCAGGGATGTCAGGGCTGCCAATGTGTGCTCCGTTCAGTTGGGTGGGTCTCTGTCCATCTGTAAATGTAGCACTAATAATAATAATAATAATAATAATAATAATAATAATAATAATTTATTTCTACTCTGCCCATCTGGCTAGGTTTCCCCAGCCACTCTGGGCAGCTTTCAACAGAACATTAAAAACAGAATAAAACTTCAGACATTAAAAACCTCCCTAAACAGGGCTGCCTTCAGATGTCTTCTAAAAGTCGAGTAGTTGTTTATTTCCTCGACATCTGATGGGAGGGCATTCCACAGGGTGGGCGCCACTACCGAGAAGGCCCTCTGCCTGGTTCCCTGTAGCCTCACTTCTCGCAGGGAGGGAGCCACCAGAAGGCCCTCAGCGCTGGATTCTAAGTGACAAGACTGCACCCTCCTGCTCAGGCTCCTGTTCAGTTGCTGTAGCCTCTTGTTGTGCCCCTTTCCGCAGTTGCCCACAGTCCTCCACAGCCTCCATCAAGGCTCTCCACTGTGCTGGAAGGTTGGAAGGTAGAGCCAGCATCCATAGCAGGTGAAGTGAAGACACCATGGAGAAATCTCCTGCCTCCAACCTCAGTTCCCATTGTTCAGCCCCCACCCACACCCCGTGTTTCTTCTTCTTCTTCTTCTTCTTCTTCTTCTTCTTCTTCTTCTTCTTCTTCTTCCCCCTCCTCCTCCCCCTCCCCCTCCTCCTCCTCCTCCTCCTTCTCCTCCTGTCAGGGTCTGCCATTCCAAACCCAATTCCAACCATGTGTCAAAACTCAGAAGTTGGGAATGAACAGCATGTCCAGGTTTACTACAGAAAGAAAATAGAGGGAAGGGGCACCTGCTTCATTTGCCAGGTGTGTGTGTGTCGGAGCAAGAAATCTGGACTCCTTTCCATGGAAAATAAAATAAAACCTGAACATTTGAGTACAAGTTGCATTTTATTTGCTCATTAACTCAATTTATAGGACCACTCCATAACATAGATTTCCGGGGCAGCTCGCAAAACAAAGCACATGCAACAATTAAAATTTAACCCAGCCTTTATCTATATTGGATTTGAAATTGCTTTTGCGTCAGAAATGGGTTCTTTGGAATGTTATCATTTTCAATATATGAAATTGTGCAATTGTTTTTATGGCTTGTTTTTTTATAGTGAAATGGCTTCAGGATATTTCATGGGGAGCAATTCATAAATGGAAATAAATATATAATTGTTCTAAAATTATTTTTAAAAGCAAACCAAACACAGATTTTTGAACTAACAGGTATAGCTCACTGCTGATACTGGTTATTTCAAAGGCCTGAGTGTACAAGCAGCTCTTCAACTGATGTAAAAAAAAGAAAGGCTGCAAAGACTTCATTGGGAAGGCTGTTCCATAACTGGGGTGCCACCACTGAAAAGGTCCAGTGAGGACCTCCTTGGCAAAGGCATGCTGAGCAGGGCCTCTGAAGAAGATTGAGCTGTGTCACTCATAATGCTCAACAAGGCAACAGATGTTAAGCTCTGTCTACTTTTGAAGGTGACTCGAAAACGACAATTAATCGAGAATGCGGAAGCTAGACTGGTGACTGGCAGTGGCTGCCGAGACCACATAACACCGGTCCTGAAAGACCTACATTGGCTCCCAGTACATTTCCAAGCACAATTCAAAGGGTTGGTGCTGATCTTGAAAGCCCTAAATGGCCTTGGCCCACTATACCTGAAGGAGCATCTCCATCCCCTTCGTCCAGCCCAGACATTGAGGTCCAGCTCCAAGGGCCTTCTGGCAGTTCTCTCACTGAGAGAAGTGAAGCTACAGGGAACTAGGCAGGGGAGCTTCTCGGTAGTGGCACCCTCCCTGTGGAACGCCCTCCCATCAGATGTCAAGGAAATAAGCAACTATCTAACTTTTAGAAGACATCTGAAGGCAGCCCTGTTCAGGGAAGCTTTTAATGTTTGATGTTTTATCATGTTTTTAATTTTATTGTGTTAATATTCTGTTGGGAGCTGCCCAAAGCGGCTGGGGAAACCCAGCCAGATGGGCGGGGTATAAATAAATTATTATCATCATCATCATTTCTTCTAAGAAGCAACCTCAGCTCTGCTAAAAGACCAGCACCATTTGGAGCGAACTCCTGCCCCTCCACCCTGCCCAAAAAAACAAAACCCCCTGTGTATGCTCAGTAGGCATGGCCTGCTAACTGAATGAATGGGGTCTGGAAATTGTATGGAATGGAGCACATAAAACTGCTAGCACATTTGCAAAGCTAAGCAGGGTCCGGTGTGGTTTCCAACCGGATGGGAGACCATTTGTTGAGATTCCTGCATTGCAGGGGGTTGGAATAGACAGGAGTTGGACGAGATGGCCATCGGGGTCCCTTCCAATTCTACAGTTCCATGATTCTGTAACTCTAAGATTTAC